GGGAGGGGCCACGCGCTGCATCAGTCGGTGTTACTCTCCTGGACCCCCCCTCCAGGTGTGACAACACCGCACATGTGGCCAGATGTGCCCTGAAGGACAGGATGACTCGGCCCAGTGGGGAAAAGCCCCGCTGCGGCGCCGTGGGCCTGCGAACTCGTAGTCACACCTGCCCAGCCGCCAGGCAGCCCAGAGCACTTAGGCTAAAGGGAAAATGGAGGGCAGGGGGGAGGCCCCCAGACTTTGCAAGAAGGGGCTGGATGATTTCTTTCCTAAATGTATCCTTATGCCTTTATCCTAACAGTTCTAAATCCCAAAGAGATTGAATGATCACTGTAAAAGCAAACTTGGAATGTATTGGCAATGGACTTTTGAAAATAAAATTTTGTACTTCAAAGACAAGCCACGGAAATGGCGCGTTTCTGGAAACGAGGCCGTCTGGGCTTCTCCCGTCTCTCCCGCGCGGGCGGGCATCTGAGCCTGGCGCCTCTCACCCTCCTGTGCTGGCGGGAGGGAAGCTGACGAGAAGAGGGGCTGCGACCCAGTGCCGGCCGTGTCTGGGTGAGACCGCTGCCCTGCGCACCCGCATGGTGGCGCCCTCAGACATGGCTCAGAGGCTTTGCCTTCGCCCCTCGCTTCCCTCCCACCTGACCCCACCCCAAAAACAGGTTACGAGGGAGGCAGCTTGAAACTCTGCGTGGTCTTCAGGCCAAGCACCATAAAAACCCTCGCCGTAAGCCGAAGCCGATTAGTAAGATGACAGGCCATGCAACAGAGTGACCGCCCTTGGTGCCACAGAAGATACCCAGATGCCAAGGTTACTGGCGGGTAGGTAAGGGACACAGCTCCCTGCTCTGCTCGGCAGATGCTCTGGTGACATGTCCTGCTTCGGGTCCCTAGAGTGGAGTTAGGGTTTCAAGAGAAAAAAAAAAAAAGGAGGTGTTCCTCACAAAATGTCTTAAAGCGGGTTGTATGCTATTGAAAAGTTTCTTGGGCCCTCCCTGGTGGCTCAACGGGTTAAAGTGAAGCACCATGAAGTCCGCCACAGCCGCTTCAGCACGAGTTCGATCCCCGGCCAGGGAGTGAGCCACATGGCACAGGAGACCTCTCCTGACCTGCCCGCTGCTCCCCTCGGCAGCAGACTTCATCCAGCTGCCTGTTCTGCTCCCCACTCTGTCTGGTGAAGCCTCTCACAGCCCCTGCACTTCGGGCCTGTACCCCAGTTCTGGTTGCATAACTAAAGAATCGTTTTTTAAAAAGAAAAAAAAAAAACTTCCTATATAACGAAAATAGGTGTTAAGAGGTTAAGGTTTTGTGGTTTTTTTTTTTTAATGCTGAGTTTGTTTTTCTTAAATTTTGATTTATTTATGCATACAGAACTGGGGCACCATCCAGAGGTGCAGGGGCGGCAAGAGACATCACCACAGAAAGAGTGGGAGCAGAACAGGCAGATCGACTAAGTACACTGCTGAGGGGAGCAGCGGGGCGACAGGAGAGGTCTGTCACGCCAGGGTTAAGGTTTTAGCAGCCTCTGATTACAGGAGATTGCTGAAGGCTTGATGCAACTAAGATGAATTCTGTGGTAGTACTAATCCAGGGGTCTGAAATGGAGCAGGTTTAACTCCAGCCCACCAGGCTTTAACCTGTAGGGTCTTTCGAGGCTTGCTGCCTCACCTCCCGGCCTCAGTGCCCTCACCTCCGGATGGGAGCAGCAGTATGTAAGGCTGTTGTGAGGATTAAAAGAAGGTAATGCATCATCAGGTGCCTGGTGCAAAAATAGTAATTTTAAAAAATATAATTATTTTTACATCACTTTGTGCCTTTTTCCATCTCAGTTGCAATCCCCGTGGGCTTCCCATCACCAAATCACCCGTGTGCCATCACCATAGTCCAGTGCATTCCCCACTCCACCCCCACAAAATGTCTCTGGTATATGGCTGCTCATTACTATTTTTTTGCCTGGTCCCTTATGCTCCTACTATGAGTGCAACCATCTGGTATTTTTCCTTTTCTTTCTGGCTTATTTCACAAAGCATGATCCTTCCCAGCTCCATCCATGTTGCTGCAGAAGGCATCTGTTTATTTATTTATTTTTTCATCACTGGGTAATACTCCATTGTGCATATGTACCACATCTTTTTTAATCCAGTCATCCAAAGCAAGAATAGTGATTTTTAAAAATTACACAGCACTGTCAGGCATAAGGAACTAGTTGTCAGAGTGTACTTACAGGATGACAGTAATGACAGAAAATCTCCCAGCACTACCATTTTTTTGTTTATCAGCTACAGTTGAAATGATACAGACCAAGACTTTAACCCTCATCCTCTCTGACAAGAAATCCCAATCATTCCAGGAAAGAAGAAAGGATGTGTCCTCACCAGAGATTTTTCAGTCAAATGAACAGGTATTCATTGTCTGCTTTTACACAGAGGATTGATGTGACTGTTGATAATAGTAAAACAAAGAGTTTTGCATATTTCATATTTAGGTCAATCCTGTCTTTCTCACTCAAACTGCCAGGGGCCAGTGAGAACAGTGCAAGGACCAGAACTTTCCATGGCCCTAACACTTAAAAACACTGCACTTTGGGGGCGATTCACACTGGGCGGGTATCTTAGGGGAGAAGCTGCAATACACAAAGAAGTTGTTCTCTCTAATAACTGGAGCCAAGGCTCGACAGCAGCCAGGAATCTGCCATTTGTTTGCAGTTAAGATGAGGCAGAATGGCAGCCAGACGTAAAAGCGTAGCTGCTTTTTCTCCAAATCTTCAATTGCAGATAAAGTTGATAAACTTTACAAAACTTGCATGTCCCAAAGAAAATATTTTAGTAGAGGTAAAATACATAAAAGTGACCATCACAATCACTGTGAAGTATGCAGCTGGTGGAAGCAGTACATTCACAGGTCTGGGCAACCACCATCACTACAGAACTCCTTTCTCTCATTTTGAAAAACTGGAAATGTCCCCATTCAACATGCATTTCCCACCCCCTTTCCCTCCAGACCTTCACAACCACTATTTGATGCTTTTGACTCCTTTAAGAACTGCACATAGGGCCCTCCCTGGTGGCACAGCGGGTTAGAGCACAGCACTAAGAATCGAAAGCCACTTCCGCATGAGTTTGATCCCCTCCTGCCCCGGAGGTGACGACATGGCGCGGCAGACCTCTCCTGACCCGCCCGCTGCTCCCCTCAGCAGTGTACTTCTTCCATCTGCCTGTTCTGCTCCCCACTCTGTCTCTGGTAAATCCTCTCACCATCCCTGCACCTCTGGCCTGTACCCCAGTTCTATATGCATAAATAAATCTTAAAAAAAAAAAAAAAGAACTGCATATAAGCAGAATCATGCAGTATGTGACCTTTTGTGTCAGGCTTTTATCAGGGAGCATGTCCTCAAAGATCCTCCATGTTGTAGCCTGTATCAAAATTTCTCTCCTTTTTAAAGGCTGAATACTATTCCACCAAATGGTTACATACGTACATTTATACACCATATGTTTACATATTTTTATTGATACAGTCCTCCTCCTAAGAACATTTGGGGTTACTTCCCCCTTTTGGCTACTTTTTAAATTATTTTTTAGGGTTTTCTATTTTTTTAAAGAGTTAATGATTTATGCAACTGGTGAGAGGATTCACCAGAGACAATGTGGAGAGCAGATCTACTGAAATACACTGCTGAGGGGAGCAGCAGGTGAGACAGGAGAGGTCTGCTGCCTGTGTGGGTCAGTTCTCTGACAGGGAATTGAATTCGTGCTGCAGTGGCTCAACCTCACAGTGCCATGCGTTAACCCGATGAGCAGGGGGAGCCCCTGGCAATTGAGGAGAATGCTGCTATGCACGTGGGTGTGCAAACATCTCTAAGACGCCGGTTTCAGTTCCTTGGGGCACATAACCAGGAGTGGAATTGCTGGCTTGTGCGGTCCCTCCTCATTTAATTTTTGGAGGCACTATGATACTGTTTCGGGAGACAGTATCATCGTGCCTCAAAATGATGCATTTGGGCAGCTGTATCATTTCCATCCGCAAAACAGTGCTCCTTCCAAAACCCTGCCATGACCACCGACACATTCACTTCTGGGTTTTTTTGGTAACAGACATCCTCATGCATGTGCGGAGCCATGAAGATCAAAACAATAAAGCCCCACCGTGCACATGGACTTCATCCCACCCTTGGGACCCAGAGAAGTATCCAGACCCCCAGGAGACAGCGGGACGGTCACCCCAGCCGGGCTGGGGGCGCTGGCGTCGGGGGAGGAGACCATCTGCCAGGGAAGCTGTGGTCTTCCGGGGATCAGCGAGCATCCATAGGGCCGAGGCCACCGGGCAGCTAGAAATGGGAACGACTCTGCCTCCAGCGCCATGCCTGTCTCTGGTGAACGGTGGTGGTAGGTGGTGACAGGGACTCAGAGATTGGGCTGCGCATGCGCGCTCGTGGGGCGGGGCTTGAGGGCCCGGGCGGCAGGTGGAGCTCGGCGCATGCGCTCTGCGCGCTCTGGCTCGACTTCGGACCATGGCTGCGGCGCTGAACAGTCAGGCAGCCGTTCGGCTGCGGCTTCTCCTTTCGGCGCTGAAGCCGGGGATTCACTTCTCCCGGCCCGGGTCCTTGGCTGCCTTCGGGTAATGGCGCCCACTGCCCTCTGGGAGCCCCCGCGTCCAGGTCCGCTCGCTTGGGGGGCGGGAGGGCGAGCGCTGGCCGAGGGCGACTGGAGGGGGTGGGGGCGCCCTGGCCGCTCTGTGCACCCTCGGGACACCATCTCTTGCAGGCCAGACCGACATGCGGTGGTCAGTTACCTCTTGTAGTCACGGGTTGCAAGCCCGGGAGTCTTTCTGTTCGGTGACTTGACGTGCAGGAGAGTCTCCTGGGGAACCCCAAACACCCCAAACAGAACGCCCCGAAGGTTCTGATGTCTTGGGTTTGGACATGCCCGGGAACCTGCCTTTTTCCTCTGTGACCGTATCCCACGCGCTTTGAGATGGAACAACAGCAAACCCAGCATAAACCTCTTACCCAATTTTTTTTTTTTTTTTTTAAGATTTAGTTATTCATGCATACAAGAACTTGAGTACAAGCCAGAGCTGCGTGGAGGCTGGGGGTGGGGGTGAGAGCATTCACTAAAGACAGGGGGGAGCAGAACAGATGGATCTACTGAAATACACTGCTGAGGGGAGCTGCGGGGAGACAGGAGGGGTCTGCTGCGCCATGTGGGCCCGTACCCGGCAGAGTCAAACTGGTGCAGCAGTGACTGCAGATAGCGTCATAGTGCTGAGACTTAAGCCCTTGTGCCACCAGGGAGGCCCAACTCCTTACCCACTTGCTTTAAAATGGACCGGTGCCCGGTCCTGCAGAAAAAGTGGACAGAGCCGTCAGGGAGCTTCCTGCCACTGTGTCCTACATGCCTCCCTGCACTGGATAATGCACAGGGACCTGTTGCTGGGTCATTTCCGTTCATCACCAGAGAGGGAGTCCAGAGCTGTGTAGACATATGCACTTGGAATTGCACTTCATTTAAGTGAAACTTTCCATTTGAAAACTTAATTTGGAAGAAGAACCAAAGGGAAAAAATACGCAGCTGTAGATACTGTGCTTGGCTAGCTCTTGCTTTTCAAATTTGATTGAAATTCTCTACTATTTTAGAACTTGTTGGAGATTTTTAGGACTGTCTTACACAGATAGAAATAAAAGTCTTTGCAGCTCTATAAGTCAACAAGGAAAAAAAAGCAGTTTATCCAATTTACTGGTTGGAGAGACTGGAAATAAGGTTACTGTGACCGCACCAGTATCAGAATGGCAGTAGATTATGTAACGATTGTGGGTGGGCACCATCGACTTAGTGCAAATCGCTCTTCCAATATATACCTCTGAAAAACAGGTTTCTCCAGGGATTTCCAGCTGTCGTACAGTTGTAATTTGATAGCACTTTGGCTTGTCCGAAGCCAGGCCACAGCCCAGCCCGAGCACACGTGTGCTCCTGCAGAGCCTGAGTCAGGTCCCGCCGTCCAACCCTGACAGCTGTGTGCTTGCCCAGAAACCCTTGCCTCCTCTTACTGCGTAATCTATTAAGTGGTTTATTCCAGAACCAGATCAAACAAGCTTTTCCTGCCCGCAGTTCTTTGTTATATACAGTTCTTAATTTGCAGACCCTAACAGCCCCTGGAGAAAACTGTTTTTGAGGTCCAACTTGGGCGTTACAGAAAATCAGACCCCTTCCCCGCCAGCCAGGCTTCAGTCTGGCAGCCGGTGCGTGCGTGTGGCCACACCAGGAACCTGCCGGGGCCTCTCTTCCGCCGGGAGTTTACAGAAAAGCATTCAGATGGCCTCTCTGGCATTCATGTCCTGCACAATTACTCTGAGGATTTGAAACAGTAAGTGTAAAAGGCTTGGGGCATAACAGAATTTAGTAGCTAGTAATTGTTATTATTTTAATTAATAATTAATATAATTATTAGTGATGATGGAAACATGAATAGCCACTTAATTACACGGTGTGTGAAGGACATCAGCAGTCCCCAGCCTCCGTGAGCGCCAGGCCTAGGGCAGCTAGTACTTTGCGTCGCTAATGGCTCCCTTGGCCTGCACAGGAGAACACGCTGAGCACGCGACCTGCTGAGCACGTGACCCGCAGAGGTTCCGGGACTTTGAAAGTGGCGTGTAGCTCTGAAGTGGCCCCCGCTTTTGGCAGAGTGCCCGCAGGGACATTGGGTGCCCCTCCTGACTGCAGATGCCAGGTGACGGGACCCTGCGCCTCAGGGCCTGGGTAAAAGGAGTCTGAGTGTGGCTCTTGTCACGTGGCACAGAGAGCCCTGACCACTCACCAGAGCACTATTTCCTAGTCCAGTAATTGTGCGAGATTAATGATTGACTCCAGTTTGGGGATTCGGTCTAATTAAATGATTGACCCCAGTTTGGGGGTTTAGTCTAATTAAATGATTGGCTCCAGTTCGGGGGTTCAGTCTAATTAAATGATTGGCTCCAGTT